GCTGGAGCTGAGCTTTAAAGACCCAAGCACAACTGGGCAGCTCCATTACTTAGCTATTGTCGCGGCTTTAAGTTCATTTTTCTTTCAATTGTGTGGAATTTGTAAGACAAGTTGAGTTTTCTTGGCGCTTTTTTGTTTGCTTATTCTATTAACTTTGTTGAACAAATAAATGAAGAGCTTATTAAATGAATCTTGATATCTATGAATTATTTCAGTTATGAGATACGCAACACTTGAAAGTTGAAAGACCATATGAGTTAAGGAGCCTCCTAAATTTTAATTCTTACTTTTATTTGTTCTTGATTCATTAATTTAAACATTTTAGCTTTTTGATTTATGAGCAAATATTTTGATCGCGCTTTAGCTGTGTGATTTATGAGAAAATAATTAAATACATTAATCGCATTAAGGCTTCCATTTGTATATATTTCTTAGAATTTTCTACTTCATATTTATTTTTAGGTCTTAGACAAAGGTTTCTCCTCTTTATGCTAGAATTTATTGTGTATATTAATTTAAATTTCTGCTAAAGAGCACATCATCATTAAATTGATATTATCTCCTATTTTTTTAGTTTTTCCTTTTTTACACAATTCAATCTTGAGATTTATGTTCAGCTACTCTAACTCATCAGCTGAAACACGTCCAATTAATTAAAAATGATGAGGCAAGAAACAACAGACTGCAAAACCCAAAATACACACACAAACACGTACACAGCATCAACAACAGTTTCATCAACACAGTTGCCACATAAACCAACAAAGATACGGCTATGCTAAGGCGTGCGATGCTCGTAGATATGTGTCGTTGGTATCATGGTCACAGTCATAGCTATCATATCTATGTGTGAATTGTGTGTGTTTGTGTGTTGTCTTCCCAGCGCTCACTCACAAATATAGCAAAAATCAATCATACGCAACGTGCGCTCGCTGCTCGTCATGGCAATGAAATATCGATTACGACACATTGGCGAGGCGGTCGCAACAGTCGCAACAACATTGACTGATGTCGCGGATGTCGAGTATTCGTATCTCAAAATTCTTTGTTTTTGTTGTTGTCGTGGTTGCTGTTTCTGTTTCTGTTTGTCGGATAACAGCAGGCACAGCACTTTTCGAGTGCGTCGCAATGAAATGCAAAACGAGTCAACCGCAAGCTACTGCGAAAGCAATAGCAACAGCAACTGCCCCTCTGTCAGCCTACCACCTGCCACCTGCCACTTTTTGCCCATCCCTGGACCACCGCTGTCCATACCTTTTTTCATTTCATTAACGCTACTGCAGTCGCGGCGACTTTAAGTGCGTGTGCTTAGTGCCATCGGCAGCCGTCAAAAGCAGCGACAAAGCAGACACAGCAGCCATCGACATGGTTGCCACATTGACAGACAGACAGACAGACAGACAGACGGGCGACACACAGGCAGATAGCCAGATAGGCAGACAGCTGGGCAAGTGCGCGCGTAAATAAAATTACGTTTACAGCAAAGGCGGCCACACGCATTTCTATGCCTCGACAGCTATGAATATGTAAATGGGTATACAAGGTTTGTAAGACCCAAGTAAGGTGTGTACTTAAGTTTGACTAAAGATGCTATATAAGAGTATCATCAACAGATAAAGCCTTTGAAGCAGCTAAAGGACTGAATTTAATTCTGACTAAAAGATGAAATATAAAAGTATTATCCACAGAGAAAACCTTTGTTGTAACTTAAATTTAATGCAGGAATTTTAAGATACTCTTTCATATTGAGTACCTAGTTAAATATACTCTTTTAGTACATCAGTCAACTATAGTTAACCAAAACTAAACTTTAATCAAATACATATTCTATGGAGACCTTCTAACTATAGAACAGTTTAATCAACTTATTATATTTGTGTGCACGTATTTAATAGAGTATCCAACAGTCGAGAATATTTTACTACTCCATTTGCATAGTTGACTACTTTTTTTTATTATTTTGTTTAGCATCGACTGTCTGCGTTGCGGTGCACTTTGTGTCGCGTATTTTTCATTCATGGTTGATTTTTTGGTATTTTGTCGGCGGGGCCTTTTATCAATCATCGAGCTGACGTGGTACGTGAGCCTCTCGGCCAATAATTGCATGCGATAAGTTGCCCAAGTGCAGGCAAGAGACAAATGTGCACCGCACAACCACAACACACACCATACCACACCACACACCGCACCGTCGCGCACCGCACTTGCGACGGAGTTTGAACCAATTGCAATTGCTGTCCCTGTTGCCAGTTTAAACTCATTAATAATGACCCGAGGCGTGCGCCAGCAACGACTACGACAACGACGACGATGACGATGACGATGATGATGACGATAGCGACGACTACTGCCAGTGGTTGTCCGCTCTCGGTTGCCATTGTCAAATTGTGGGACACGCCCACCGCCACACAAAACGCCTGAATCGCAACACATGTCTAATGCGCAATTTATGCTGGCCAACAGGCTGATTTTCAACTAGGCAGCGCGAGTTGAGGAGTTGAGGAGTTGCGGGTAGAGGAATGGTGCTTTAAAGCCGCTTGTTTTCAGTCGATTTGGTGGCTTACTGTGCAACTTGCAGCTTGTTGTAGCTGGTGCACTTAGAGAAATAATTTGAGAGCATTTAGCACTTCATGAAATAACAAAGCGAATACAAAATTTCTTTAAATTTCAAATTGGTCTGAACTAACTTGGTTTTTTTAAGTCTAAATATGTCATAGATCAATGGAATAAGATATTTCATAGGTTAACTACTCGATATCATATTTGAAGCACTGTGCAATTCTTAATTCCTATTTTATAATTGTTTTCTTCGTGCCACATTTTAAGAACACAACGATTGGAATTATTAATTAAATACCGGCATTTTTCTGCAAGTGTAGGAGCGAGTGTTGTCGTAGTTGTTGTTGGTAATTGCTGCATGTGCTTGTAAAATTATTATAAATGTCTTGTTGATGAGCTGTGATTATTAACGTATACGTGCCTCAATTTTTGTTGCAGCCGCAGCTGTTATTGCATTAAAAAACTTAAAGCCACATGCAACATGCAACTTAGCAGCTCAACGCGACGCCAAGTGTCATTAGTCAGTTCGTGGAATTGCTAACTAACTAGCCTGTCGCTCCACTTGGCCCGCCCGATCAATCTGGAATGAACTGGAACACTATGCCGTGGGCGATTTACCGATCAACTGCTCTGATTATGCAGATACACGTTAGTATATTTATGCTTGAGTTGTACTTGTAGTATCTTCTGCCTGCTTGCCTGCCTGTCTGCCTGCCTGCCTGACTGCCTGACTGCCTGCCATATAATTAACCTCTCTGCGAGTCTGCTGCCCCTTGCTGCTCATTATGTCGCAGACCCCACAGGCAACCTTGATGACATGCATTTGCATAAGATAATGTGTAAGTATGCTTATCATGTCACATTGTATTCCATTTATCAGAGATGCTCTTGAGATGCTCAAAAAGCTTGTTGCCCTCTCAGAAAATCTAAATAAAACATTCCTTTGCGTATTCAATTTAAGTGTTTCTATTTCTGTTAGTTTCCTTTTTCGCTGTAGTCTACTTTTCTTTATTGATAAAATGTCTTCTTTAAAGGCATTTAATACATTTCAGATAGCTAATCATTTAATTTATTCGCTAGCACAAATAAAAATATGGAAAACGTCATATATATTTATTTTCATTTAATGTTAAAAACAACATCTTTATCGAAATAGATTTATTATGAAATATATATATTTATGTACACATTTCTTGATGCTTAACATTTTATTTAAGGCAATTTATCGCTTGTCCAATTAATTGGGTATACAGTCATTTTCGACTTCTCCTATTATTTATATAACTTTCATATTTTATTTCCAGCTCGTGTAATAAAAATGTTCTCAATTTGTGCAGTAATCAAAAAAATATTTTTCAATTAAAAGCCAGCTTCAAATTGATGGCCATGGACAATGTCTTCGATTTCATGGGCATTTTATGTATAAATATATCACAAATTTATTTATATTGCACGCTTGGATGAAATTTTGCAAAGGTTTGCTAAAATCAAAGAGCGGAAACCAGGCCACACACAAAAATACATATATACACATGAGAAAATCACAACTATTTATTTGATTTGTCCGCACAATGATGCCAACTATGAGATGGCGTGCAACATCAGCAGAATTTTCTAACACACAGACAGAGGCACAGACAAAAGGCAGCAACGAAGAGGCAGCTTGGCGCTGTCAGATCTCTCAGAGGTCTCATCTCACAGTTCTTCTCGTCGCTGACGACCCATTTAATTTGGCAAACGTGCGCAGTTTTAAAGCAAGGGGCAAACCACACAGGCTGTGTGGCATGGTGGCACGGTGGCACGATACTAACATCAGCGCAGCACAAGCAGCAGCCAGCGACGTGTGAATGATGACACTTTGCATGTTTGCCAAGCAAGCAAGCAGTAAAGGCTCTTTCTCTGAACTAAATATTGATGAGGGTGCCCAGAGATGGGGGCACTACGGCTGACGGTTAGCATATGGCAGCACGTGCAAAGTATGCAACACTTTTATGCTCTATACCCTTTAAATATGGCGAAAAGGGGTATTATGATATGCTGTGATTGAATGTGTTTGGCTGAAGAACGTATTTCGATATCCTTTATTTGCCAATCATTTTCAATTTTAATCTAATTATTCATTTTGAATTTAAAATAAAGTTTAATTTTAGATTTTACTAAACAATGAATTTCTTATTAATCATAATAGAAAATGTGTTTGTATACAGATAACAAACCACAAATGTATCTTTTAGGCCAAGTAGAGGGTATCTGATAGTCGAACGCAAACTTGTTGCCAATCGACATAAATCACATGCCATGTGGAGCGACAGAGGAAAGAGCGAAGAGGGTGTTTAGTTTTTGGGGCATTATTCTTGTCATTGTTGTTGTTGTTGTTGTCGCTGGTTAGGTGGCGCTGATGCGAACACTAAAGGGCGTCAGATTGTGGCGCAAAAACTCACCTTGATCTCGTGTATGAAGTCGGTTTCATCCAGCAAATTAATGCGCACGGACATTATCCGCGAGGGTCGACACAGGCAATTCATGATGTTTACTTTGTATTGTTTGCTTTGTCACCTCGTTGGAAATTGTTCAAGCGAAATGTGTCTGTGTCGCGTTGTCACTCAAAGTAGTCGGCATCTTTCGCGTGAGATAGCTGCAAGATAAGGATACATATATTGTAGTATATACATGTATGTGGCGATATAAGTGAGTGCGAGTTGTCTAGAAAGTGGCAATTAAACTGTGTACATAATTAATAAATAGTTTTTGATGTGATTTGCTATCATTCAAGACATGGTGCATGCTGCATGTATGCTGCATGTCTGCTGCTTGTTGCAAGCTGCAATTAGCCAGCTGTAAACTGGTTTGAGATACACTTCACAGATATATATGTGGCATCGCTCAGACATAGCCTACTGGCGATGACAGTCAAGAGTTGGTGGCTTGTTTTAATAACTCTTTTTGGCTTGAACTTATATTAAAGCCACTGTGGCACTTATCTGTGGCGCAGATCGCGGCAACATCATCAACAGCAACAGAACAGCAGAGAACAGTAGAGGTAAGGACGGGCAATGACAAACCAACTGTCAGCAGTTGCCACTCCCCAGTCGAGTATTATCATTATAATTTTATAATTGCGGTTGTTGCCGACGATAAGTTTAATATGCACGAAGCTACTACAAAAACAGCAGCAGCAACAACAACAACAACAATAACAGTAACAACAACAATAGCAACAAAAGTCACTTAAGCGGATTAGTTAAAGGACGCTGACGACTCTTGCCTCTACTACTATTGCCTAAAAGCAGATTATGTCATTAGAGATACTTATATACAGTACATAGTACTATATACTGTACATAGAAAATGAAATAACGCCAGCAGCTGCGTTTGTCGCTTTAAGACCTCAGCAATTTTGTGGATTGAAACTAACTATGTATAAGCAAAGCTAATATGCTTAGCATATATTTAATTAAAACATTCATTTACATAACTATGAGCCTTAAATATTATTAGATAGTTTAAATTTTAATTAAAATCATCAATAGGAAGTTGGTCTATAAAATTATCTTATTTTAATTTAAGCAAAATTTACCTAAATTACAATATTTTTCAAAATAAAACTCAGATTTTCATTGATATAAAAACTTTGAGTTATATTTTTTATTAAAGGAATATTTAATTTGAATTTTGTTCAGTTTCCCGAAACTCTTGTACGAATAAAATCTAAAATTCTTTAAGGGTTTAGTGTAACTCAGAAATAGTTTACTGTATGCCTGCATATCCGGGCCTTTGGCTGATAATAAATTAAGTTCAAAAGTCTCAAAATGTTAAAACACAAAAAAGGTTTTGTTCTTTAGAGATTTGAGCGTTATCTGTGTGTTCACTTTGAGCCAGCTGACAGGTTTTGTGAGTGGAGCATCTGTTGCCAACTACAAAATAATTAATGTACATTTCACATAATGAATAGCAACGGCGAAAGAGCAACAGCAACAAGCAACAAACAAAAACGACAACAAAAAAATGGCAACAGCAGCCAGCGAGTCATGTTAACATTTCACATGACAGTCGTCGACAAACTGCAAGTGAGTAGTTTTTTTCATTTTTTTGTATTTTTTCTTTTTTATGAAGAGAGTTGCGGTTTATGTTTTTACTGTTGATAGTTGCGGCCATGTGAGATTTGCATGGCTCTTGCTTGGGCATAGGCTTTCATTAGTTGCCGCTGTTACCGCTGTTGCCGGCGTTGCAAGTGTTTTTGCTCTTGTTGCACAGCTGGCACATTTCACATGGATGGCGCTGCTCTCAAGGCGCTCATTACGCTAATGAAATATTATGACTAATTAATGGAAAGTCGGCTGACTGACTTGACAGACATCTGTCTGCCATCTGTATCTTTAACTTGGTCACTCTGTCAGCGCTGCAATGGCAACAACATCATCATTATGAACAACAGCAGCAACAGCAACTTGCCTCAATTAAAATCTATAAGTGCATGAATACATAACTCATCATTTATGTATATATATTTCAAATATATATGTGTGGACATATTCATGTGAATGACAGTCACTGTGAATGGCGCTGCATGTAATTTTAATTGCATTCAGTTCGTTCAACTTCAACCAGCAACAGCAACAGCAACGGCAACAACGACCAGCAACTGAGAAACAGCTACAACAGACGCTGCATGTGCCACCCACAACAGTAGCAACAGCCAGAGCATGCCACAGTGCGGCACTTGCAGCCCGCACAGCGGAAATTACAATTTACATTTGTGTATTGCATTTTTATGACAACATTTTACAAATTACGCGCGTTCTTTAATGTTCAGCTCGTTAAGCATACTTCAAATTTAAAACATTTAAACATTCTACACTCACAAAAAAGTAATAGTAACACTTTCAATCAATCAATTGCCGAAGTTAAAACAAAAACGAAATATCCAAAATTCCAGGTAACAATTTTTCAAGATTTCTGCTTGAATTTTGGCTTATAATTATAATGGTTCTCTGTGCGTAGATAATCCGTATTTGGTTCAGATATGACAGATTTGTTATAGTGTAATATATTAACTTAAAGCTTAACAGAACAACCGCAGCAAGAACCAGCGCAAACGAAAGTTAAGTCCCCAAAATCCCCAAAAGTCGAAGACATGTGATAAATATGACATTGATCGGTTTTTGAGCGCCTGCACAACCCCCAACCCCCTCCATCTACTTACTTAGCACTAAGAAAATTTATAGCTTTGGCATATTTATAGCGTCATATCTGAAGGCCTGAAACCATGCACAACAGGACATCATCAGTCGCTGTGCAAGGACACCCTCATAATTTCTTTTGCCATCAAATTTATCACCAGACAGCAAAAGTGTTTGAGGGGCGGGGCGGGGGGAAAGGGCGTGATTTTGGGCAACCCAAGAATAAACTTGGCTTGATTTGTGATAAAACAGTGTGTGTGTGTGTGTGTGTGTGTGTGTCTGTTTGTTTGTGACCTGATCGACCCCATTGCCAAATCTGTCTATTTATCAGGCATCAGCAGCCTCAAAAGAAAAACTGTGCTTTGAATTTCCGGCGGATTTTACTACTCTCAGTCGCTGTCTCTTTCTGTCTCGCTCTGTCTCGCTCTGTTGCTACTTTTCTTTTTGCCAGCTATCGTTTTGGGTTTATTATTAATAAGTACACACAGACACACACACACATACGCACACACACACACACAGAGTCATAAAGTTGACTCCATCTGACTGCATTGGCTTTCTTCGTTTTTTTCTTGGCTGCCTTCCTTGCTGACGTGCGTATCAATAACTGAAAATGTCTCAAACAGCATTTTGTCATATTTCAATGAATGCCACGCCCCCGTTTGCCCAGCGCCCCCTAGCATTTGATGTTTGCGGAAGTGACGCCGAAAAAAAAAGCACAAGCAACAGCAACGGCAACGGCAACGGCAACAGCAAAGTCAGCCAGCAAAAGCAAACAAACTTTTAGCACATGCTCAGGAATCCATCCAGCCAGCCATCCATCCATTCTACATCTGGCAACAGGATGCTGTCTGCTCCAGTTTTCTTTCTGGTCTAAACGAAATTATTTATTACTTTCGGTGCAAATGGCGGCTGGCTGTTGTTGTTGTTGTTATATGCATGGGAAGCTGCTGGTAATGATGATGAAAAACGTGAAAGCATCGAAAAGTGCAAATGGCTAAAGGTGAACCGTCGCTGTAAAGGGCAGAAGGATTGCTTTTGCAACCACCAGCCCCATACAGCTTCAGTCCTGCCCCCCACAGCACTTTAATGATGATTAAATGCTGCGTAGCCGCCCCAAGTTTTTGGGGGGGAGTTGGGCTGGCGGCTCTGACACATTTTGTCGAGCAGTGATTTACCTTTTTTTTCTCTTACTTTCTTTACATTTTCTTCATCTGTTTTATTTTGGTGCTGTTTTTTTGACTATGAAACCGAGCAGTCAAATGAGCTGGAAAATGAAGCCAGTGCTTTGGGATTTATTTTCTAAATAACTGAAATCTAATGTTGATGGACTTGAGAGCGATGTGAGCTCTCGACCAGACAAATCAAGAGTTAATATAACATACGTCTTTGATGTGTGTATATGGGGATTTGAGTACGAATCCCAGGCTGAGGGCTTACAAACAGCAAATATCCTACATAATATGGTAATTTGAATTTCAGAAATAATTGTATGCTAATAAAACCCTTGCGAGTTTCTATAGATATAATGAACTGTTAAAAAATCCATTAAAATGAGCTGAAAGCAAAAATACGTTTGTGGAGCTCTATTTATAACTATAAAGTTCAGCATCGGCAAGAGAAATATGTGCCAAATATGAGTAAGTTGCAACAATGAAAAGCTTCTGCTAAAGAAACAGCTTCTACTTCTTCAAAATTATATCACAAACTGATTTTGAACTGTAAATTTTTTCAAGAAAATCAACTCACTATAAAAATAACATGCTTGTTAAACATTAGAGTCAAGAATAATGCCAGCCAATGCCTGGCAGCCAAGTATGCGTACATAAAATAATTTTATACGCTGAATCTGCCGCTTTATGTTTCCTTATGGCCGGAACAATTATGAGCAAGCATTTACACACTGTGTGTGTTTGTGTGTGTGCGTGTGTGTTGCAATTGTGGGTTGCTGGTTGCTGGCCATAGCTGGGAGGCACTATGCATAGCTGGAGCCACAGAAGCAGGCGACCCAGCGGCCACAGGCGAGCATAAATTTTACCGCAAAGGCAACAACAACTACAACAAGAATAACATCAATTGCAACCACAAAGGCAATAACATAGGCCTTGTGCATTTAGGGGAAATGGGGCATGCAACGTGCGGCATATTGCATACCTCGGGCATTTGCAGCAATTAACACGGTCGACGGCGTGCCTTGGCGCCCACTTCGGAGCCTGCCAAACGATTTCTTGTACTCCTCTTTTATTTTTCTTTTGGCTTTTTTTTTTTTTTTTTTTTGTGTGGCACGTAATGAGCCAGGACGATTGCTTGGACTGACGGGTCTCTAATTGCATTGACGATTTCGCTTTGGCATGACAATGCCCCGCCGACCCACCCTGCCCACCTGCCTTCAACTCTGATTGAGTTGCAGTTAATTATATCTCCAGTCTGGTATTTGAATGATTTTAATGATTTG